TTTTTTTTTTTTTTTTTAACACATTAAAAAGAGCCAGTAAAACAATGAAGAATCAACCAAATTACATCTTTGAAATCTGCAATATATGCTGGTTATAGAATAATGTCAAATTACCTCCATTCTCCGCATTTCCATTTCAGCTTTCCTCTTCTGATGATTTTCCCAGGCCTGAATCTTCACTTCTTCACGCTTGTACCTGCAGGTCCATCAATAAGACAGCTTGAACTATCTGAGGTTTTCTCACATGGACAAACAGAATGTAAAGGAAGTGCTTTACAAGCATTGGCAGAATCTTCAAAGCTTTGGTTTCTTAATAAGCTGAAAAATGATTCAACAAATTACCTTGCCATGTTTTTAGCACGCTCGGCCTCTTCCCAAGCTGTTGCTCCGGTTTCCAAAGGATTTAACTTTCTCGATTGATCTGTAGTCCTGCTTGCAGACACATTGTTAGCATTTGGTGCTTCTCCATCTCTGCTGCATTGTCTGTTGGTACCATTACCCCTGCTACCCTCGTCTCTCGTCTCAGTCGGGACAGTAACAGTTTGACCACTTTCGAGAGCCAGCAATCCATTCTGACTTCTTACTGGAGTTGATGGACCAGAGCAAATGGGGCGTTTTGATATTGGAGTGGTGGCTTTAATCGGAGTAGCCGTTCTCGAGGGCTCCTGACTTGCAATCGGAGTCATTTCTGTCCCTATATCCCTCACACCTATTGAGTGCACACCCGATGCAGAACTATTAACAGGCTTATTGATTCTCCATATTGACTCATCACAGCCTACTTTCTTAGTTTCTACTTCATATGGACTCACATCTGTAGAGCTAGCGCCATCATTTTCTTCCTCCTCACCACTCGCGAATTCTTTCTTTGGTACTGGAACTATTAATCTCCTATCATCAGCATTTGAATTACGGGGGGAAGCTTTTGCCTGATTTTTATCTCCTCTGGATAGATTTACTAGCCATTTTTGTGCATCGTCCCACTTCGATGGAGTTGGTTTCCCTAAGGCTGTTCGTTGATGAGACGCTCGATTCATCCCATTCCCTTCGTGGAACTCAAAATTCATACTACTTTCATCCGGCATCTCTTGTGTAGTTCTATAACTCAAGCACCCCTTATCCCCTATGGATCTCATTTTTATGCCTTTTGATCTACTAAATATAAATAAACAAATTCGGCTTGCACTCGACTGACAGCAAACCCCCTTCCCCTTTTTGTCTACAATGCTAACTAAGCAAACCTACACAAATTCACAAACAAAATCCCCTTACCCCACATGTAGTTAAACCTGATCCAAAGCTCATTTCGTGTCATCACCGATTCCAATGACTTCTAAAAGTGATGCAGATCTCAGGATGAACATCTGCGTTGGTATTTTGAGTGCAAAACAAATCTGATTAGTATAATTTTTTCCCTTGAGTTCAGTTTCTAAAATCTTCAACATTCTTGGAAATATTAACACAAAAAGTACAATGCACAGCCACCCATAAGAGATTTAATAACAGCAAGTTGAAAATTTAGGGTCTAAGAAGAAGTCCTGTGAAGAGACATTTATCAAAGAATATTCATGCATAACAGGGAACATTGGAAGTTTCTACGACCCCATTCATCATCCCAAAAAAGCATATCAGAGACTATAACAGAAGCCTCATAAAATGATAACTAGGTTCATGGTCGACTACATGTATTCTATCACGCAGTTCGTTAATATCAACTGAAATACCAATAAAAAGGAACTATAAATTGCTATAAAATATGCTTATTAGGAAGAACATAAAATAAAAACAGAAGACTGTATATTGATTTTCAGCCCAATAGGATTTTTCTGAAGGAGAGGAAAAAAAAATTGCAGACTATAGAACACTGAAACCATAGACTTTTTAGAGACTGGCAGATTTAGTAGATGAAGTTCAGATCCACCGACTGGTAAAAAGGCAGCAAGATGTTGGCAGTAATGGTAAAAAATTGTTAGCACTAAAATACTGGTTAAGTTTCTTGATTTTGCTACACTTGAGGTGCAACTTGCTTTCATATCATGGAATCTTGATGATAGTTTCAACATTTTTTTTTTTTTTTGGAATAAAAATTTAGCCATTGCGTTCAATAACTTACAAGTTAAAATTAAATATTAATTTTAACTATACTGCCTTCATAATTATATTACATTTGATTATATTCATTACTACTCTTTATAAATAAATTCTAGCATGATTGTATTTGGAATATTGGTCACAAGATTTAGTCAAAAGCCTGCTACTGGATAGAGTTCTGAATAAATGCACGTATTGTTGGGAATTTATTTAACATGCACAGCGAAAATTAAAATAATTTTTTATTTCTATCAAGATTCAATTTTGTGTTTAGATGAAAATTGTGATAAAAGTCATACATTTTTCTAGATCTGCAAACCACTTTGCTTTTTCTTTGTACCAATGATCTTGATTCGCCACTCACGGTTGTCCAATTGGCCAACCTTCAACGGTGATCCACATAGAGAACAGATTGCAGTTACCAGGGTTTTCTTTTCTTGTGCTAGCAAAAAATTATAAGAAAACTAACTATTTTGAAAACCCTAGCCGTGTATTTATATAAGCTCAAACGGGCCTG